TCTATAGGTATTGATCGACTCATTAAACGTTAATAGCGCCGTGGTAAACAAAAGGGACGAAGCTGTTCCTACTGAACAATTGTACCATGTAGGGATTACTGATTATCCCATTGTTTACTGGAAGCGATACCCACACAACATGGCAACAAGGGTGAGCCATGGGTTGAGAAAATACGGCTGAAACGAGCTTCTAGTCCCCCCCCCCCCACTGCCCCAAGGGAAGCCCAACAAATAACTTCCTGAGTCCGTCTTCAGTGGTTCTGCTCCCATCCTACTTGAAGGACCAAATTTTCCCTTCTTCTGTAAGATGGGTGAAGTGGTGTAGTGACAAGTGGCGCGCTTACCACGCGAGCGGTCCGGGGATCAAATCCTGGGTCGTGAGTCGCCCGGGCCAACCAAGCCTTCCATCCCTCCGGGGTCGGTTAATTGGTACCAGACTTGTCTGGGAGGATAAAAACACTGACTTGTACATCGGCTGGCCCCCGCAAGTCATTGTATAGGCCACATCGCATTCAAACTGCCACTGCGAATGTGAATGGAAGTAGAAGCATGGCGCATCCAAAAAGGAGCTGATCTACGGCGAAAGCTTCCAAATAAACATGCACTGCAAATTCCCCCTAAGATGACCCTCCTCTCTCTAGACTCCCGATACTACCCCATTCCAAGGACTTCTCGACGCTAGTTCTTCCTCCTGGTAACCTAACCGTAACGAACCGGTTTTGCGGCTGAGTAGAAACATCGTGCTGATTAATGATTATTAGGTTGAACTGGGTCAGATGTTCACCATAATGGGGTCAGCCTGCGGCGCAGTTATTCATTGAGATTATTACTTATAAGCACTGCCTTGTTTTTGTTAAAATTTCCACCAATGTTTGTGACTGTTACCTAACTTTTCCAGGCAGGACCTACTCATTCTGAATACTTGCCACCATAATCATACCGAATTTGTCACTCTAGGGAAGCAAGAAAAATATAATTATAAAGGCAACACTTCGAAGGTGGCTCTATAAAGACCATAGATAATTCTGACCTGATTTATGAGCTGGGCAGGACTTTGGACGTCTGCCAAACGTTCGTCTAACGGTTCGGCTGGTTGAGAAACGGTGAGCTCTGCGAGACGATGAGCAATCGCTGCCGACCGTTGATGTATGGCCTCCGTGGCAGGGTTTCGAACCGACGGTGGAGCGATTGTCAGCGGGCGGCCTTCGTCACCAACCTAAAACAGATAAATAAACAAACGTGTAAATAAACAACGATTGATTGAATAATCAAATAATTAAATAAATAAGTAGTAAGCCTACGAAGCATTACAGAGATCATGTGAAAATATGGAAGCTAAATCCAGAAGAAGACTACTGAAAAAAAGAACGAGAAAATAGCCAGACGAAAATCTAATTAGCTAAGCCTATTATTTTCAGAAGCCAAAAAAGTATAAATAAATAAATAAATGAAATTAAATTCGGTAACTCGAGAAAAAACTCTGGAGCTCACATCAACTGGTAGATATCCCAGACTGCTCTTACTCCGTGAAAACTTGTTTCGAACCATTCGTGCAAAGTCTCGAGCGTCTTCAGAAGACGTTGTCTGGAAAATTTCACCTTAATAATTAGATAACATNGGATCAATGNNATACGGTGACTTTTCGGAAAGCCTAGGAGCAAATCAACGTAGAGCAAATCAAACGTTCAAAGGAGGCCCTCCCCAGAACGCTGAGGTTGCTGAGATGGAATGTAAGAAGAACAACGGGGTCCATAAGTCAGCCAGCCCCGAAGCTATATGAATTTGGACTATTTATATCTTAACCTGGCTCGATGACCACACCGACCAAAACATGAGATCCAAACGTCACTCATGTACGGTAACTGGGCACTGTAAATGAATTAGAGGTTCATTCGCGACTAAACAGCCGCTGGTGCTTCGAAATGTACTGAAAAGAAGCCGTAATAACTTCGTATAGCATACATGTGTGGCATAGAAGCCATTCTAGTCGCGTACGCTATGATTGCAAGAAGCGGCGGTGACGCGTTCTGATGTCGAGAGCTCGCTACCGTCTGTGGTCTCGCCTTCCGCCTGTTCTCTGTCTCGAAGTCTATGCTCTTGCCCTCTGGCGCCCTTCCTTCCTTCCTTTTCATTCGCTTGTTTCTCGATGGCTTTGTTTGCTCTTTGACTGTTCATGTCTCGGCTGTTTTACCTTTTCTGACAAGCGTAGGACATCTGAGATAACTATTCGAGGCACATTGTGCAAATAAGTTGAATGGCTATAGCCAGGATTAACCTTCACTTCGCCGACGCCTCCCCCAAGAGTCTCGGTGCTCCCCAGTCACCGACCATCGACTCCGCCACCTACCACCAATCAGGTCTAGGAGGCTCCCCCAATTACGATCCCCTTTCCTTTCCGACCCTTTCTCAGACCATCACCCTCAACCGATCATGCGCGTTCCTTCTCATGTTATTTGATTCTGAGACCAGGAAGACGCAGGTCGCCAACCAAAACGAAGTCGAGCGGGGAAGAGGGAGGGGTGGGGTGTAAAGGCATCATGAAGCTGTGAATCCACCAATTTCGCCTGACACTACTTTCGTAAGACTTCCACCAAATTCGTCAAAAACAGCCGAAAGCCGTCTTTAACGACCTCCGTCAACCTCCGTTCCCACTATGATAACCTTGCTCAACCCCAAAATGCGACCCCCTTCCCGAAATCACAAATGCGACCCCTCGTTCGAATAGTGCGAACGGACGGTTGACCCTGGCTGTAACTGCGCTATTCAGAGACTTGTTTGTGGTGAACTACAGTCTACTTCAATCACCCCACCCCTTTCCTCTGCGACATGTAAAATAGATCTAAATGAAGCTTCTTATAAATAAGATAATTTAGACGAAACGATCTTGAAAGCCACTTACCGGCACTGCGTATTCCTGCATCGGATGTTTCAGTTTGTGTTTTTTCGCCGTTCGTTGACTGAAGAAACAGTTCTGGCAGAGGTCCAAGTTGAAGCAACGTAGACAGCGATAACGTAGACCGATGATCGGGAACATTTTGCACACGTTGCATTTTGCTTGATGTTTGGCAAACTCGGCTGTGGCTAACCGGTGCATCACCGGTAACCATACAACGCTCTGCGGTTCCTGCTTCATCCAGTCGAGGAACGGCGCCATACCGATCGTGGGCGCAAGACGTACCGTCTCAAAGCATGATCGCACCGACGGCTCGACATTCGAGCCACCGAACGCGGCCGCTTCGCCGACCAGCCGGGGAATCTGAAACTGTTGCTTTGAATTCAAAAAAGAAATAAATCGATTTTCAATATTGTTCGATTTAAATTCAAATGTGTTAGTAATTGATTGTCGGATTAGGTGGATCGGGGGATCCGGCATTTTCACTGTGGCTTTCTGCATACGAAGATAAGGTCTAGGAGTACTGAAAAGAATTCATTATCTTAACTCAAAATCGCGTAAAATTCAGGTTTTTGCATCTCAAATCACATTTTTTCATTTTCTTCGTTTTATTGCTTTTTTTTGATTTGAAAAATACTAAAAGTTTGGCGCGCAAATAAGCGGCTTTTGAATTTCGTTTT